GAAAGAACTTCTAACAGAATGAGAGAGGTTCGACATCACCGTTATCAACATCACCCTAAAGCAGAGGAAGGGCCAAATACTTCACATGTTGCTCAAAAAGATTCCCCACTGAGATCACTCTGACTCCACCAAACATTCGCACAGACTTGTAGCTCAAAAGAGCATCAGTAAGGAGAGACAAACAACAAAGATCAGCACTTTACAGTAACGAGCCAGAGCCGCCGAAAGGGCAGAGAGTATACCTGGAGGTGGAAGGACAACACTGTGACACTGCAGGATATCAAGAAAAGTGGGTAATGAACCACTCAGGCAGCAAGTTTACCCAGGCAGAGAGAGATCTGGTAGCCGACTAGTTAAATGTGCCAGTGGCAAACCTTAACAGAGCTACAGACTCAGCTAACCATAACAGCAGTGTATCAGAAGCAGAGGAGGAACAGCTCAGGTCGAAAGTCTCAGCAGCCTGTTCCACTGAAAAATTGTCTCCTTGCAACATAGTCTTTCAGCAAAAAAGAACATCGCCGTTCTGCCGACGGATAAAGAGCACTGTTAGGCTTAACAAAGCAGACTGTACTATAACTAAAGCGACTCGTGGGTGAAAAATTCCAATAGAGTTGCAAGGCCCTGAGAGTTAGTGCTGGACACAGATGATAACATGGTGTCCTGTCATGTTGTGTAGTGGGCGCTGTCACAAGTAATGCATTTCATGTAAACTGCTGAGGAAGCAGACTATGAGAAAACGGTCCCTGCAGCCTCCAGGATGCAGCTGCTGTTGTTGAAGACGTCCTGCGTTGAGGTAGAGAGTGAGTCCCAGGAGGGCAAATCTTCATGGAACATGTGAACTCTCCGCGGAAGGCGGCATGAATAACTTAGCCGCTGCGTACGTGGTCAGCTAAATGCAGCACAGCATTCTGACGCTTTACAGACTGACAAAGCACATAAAGGCAGATACACATCAAAACAAACACAGACCACAGACGGTTTGAAAGGGAAGGACAGCATGTATGTGAAACTGGAACAACAGCCCTTTGCAGCAGTGGGGGAAAAGGAGGTGGGGTTGTGTTGGTTGTACGATACGGCTATCGATAGCTTAGACTGCCGTGTCTTTTCCTATGTGATCTGACAGCATCCCACATTTTCATTCAAGTAAATCTGACGGCCGCCACATGTGACAGCTTGTGTGCGACCTCAGTGACTCTCATGTGGCATCACGGCGTAAAGAACCTACACAGTTTAAATGGATTCAGTAGAGGTGGTAAAGCCTCCTGTGTGAGTGATGACATGTCCATTCCACTTTTGTAATTTTTCACAGACAGTTATGCAGCAGTTCTTCATCTTCTTGGGCTTAATCTTATTCTGACCTTTAACCACATCATGAATTCCTATGGCCTTATTATATATATGTATGTTTTACCTTGGAATTATATTTTCAGTAGTGTGAAAACAGAGCCACAGGGGTTACACAGCACTTTACTATGCAGTTACAATTAACACTGGAATGCCATTGTACAAATCTGGATTGACATTGTTTTGCATTTTATTTCTTCACTGTAAAACCACGACTTTTTCATTCATTACAGTGAGACCCCTGTTTCATAAGGGGCTGTGCATGTTCTGGGCTGTGCATATTGTCTCAGTCAGCTTCTTAATACAAGAAACAAAGCTCCAGATGAGTGCCAAAATTAGTTTTCCTATTTGACATTAGATATATCTACTGTTGTATTTTTGTGTGTACTCTTCCAATAACTTTAACATGTCCTGGTCTCTGCCACAGCTCCAGTTTATCCCCTGTGTTTCTGTGTTCTACCCTTCCCTCTTGTGTCCTCTGGCTCCCCTGAGTATCACTCTGTGTTCATTTGCGTGTCCATGGACGCCTCCTTCTCGACTCTCAGCTCCTGTTTTCCGGCACACCTGCATGTCATCCCCTCACCAGCTTCAGCAGTATACCGACCCCGGCTTTTATCCTCTCAGTCCCGTAGTTAACAGTCTCAGGCCGAACTTCAGCTCTAAGTTCTGCTCCTCGTGGTTTTTCTCTGTGCTAGCATTCCTTCTCCCTGTGCCTCAGATTCACCCTCTCTCTCTGCCAGCCTGCTGCTCAGCTCAACAGCCATCTGCCTGCCTGCCATACTCACCTTCAGCCACGTGCGCTGCCAACTCATCTGCCACCCTGTTCATCCACTCCACTGGCCACGCTCTCCACCGAAACCCCTGCCTGCCTGCTCACTCTCCGCCATTCCCTGCCCATCTCCCCTGCCAGCTCAGCCACTGGATCATCTCTCCCTTTCTCTCCAAAGACCGCTCGCTCTGCCCTGCCTGCCGTCAGCCTCCTGAGCTCTTCATCTCCCAGTTCCCTGTCCGACATCGTTAAATCTTTCAGTTTTTGCAGTGAACCTTGTAAAACTGTCCCTGAAGTGTGAGCTAGATCCACTTGTTACTGACACTTAAGAGAAAAAGTTGATGTCATGTGCACCCATGCACCAATCAGAATTTAACACTTAACTCTGTTTATTACATTTGATCAAACTATATGCCGACAGTCATTTTAAAGCAGATACGGAGGTTAAATGTTTAATAAATCCTTTTTATGAATGATATTTAAAAATTTGAATGTCACTAATGTAGTTGTGAATATGTATTGCAAGTGATGCTTTTTTTTAAAAAACAACACTTTGAATGAGTTTGAACTTGACTTCCTGTGTTGCAGCGCAGTGTTATTTTGAAGTGGGATTTCACCGCAAAATGTTATATTAGCCTCGCTTTATTGTCCTTGAGTAAGACTCAACCAATTCAAATGCTTCCATTTGGAAATCAGTAACATAAAACTCGTTTTGCACTAACACGCAAGAAAGCTGCTTGAGCAGACGATGAGGAGCCATAAAACTGAGGAAACATCTATTTGCGCCAATAGTTTACGTCCAGTCTCACCTTTATGCTTTTAATTCTGAAACTGGGCCCGGTAGTATGTTTTTTTTGGGGTTTTTTTAGCAGCCCTCGACAAAAATTGTACAGTCATTTTTCAGCACATTGTAATTCAAGTGGTCTGACAGAGTTCTGCACCTCCTCCTGGCTCCATTTCCAGGCCTTTGAAAATGCAGCCCATGGTGGATGAGTTTAACCAATCACAGGTCTTTTCACAATCAGATGAGACAGTATAAATAGCAACAAAATCACAGTATGTGATGGGATAATGGGTTAAATAGGCTCAAATCATGGATGAAGTCATAAATGTTTTTGGACTTTTAGCTGGACTGTCTTTGCACATTAGAAGCTTGTGCTTGAAGAAGGAAGACAGGAGACCTGCATATTTTTAAATTCCAGCTTTTTTTTTTCCTTTTCTTTCCAGATTTATGTCAGATGCAGCCCTAAATGTAAAGTCAGGAATCCAATATGTTTTGTCAAATTCTGTAATTATCGCCTCATGGTTCTCGAGCTGAGTTATCTGCACACACGGAAAATAACCCAAAAATCTGGTATTTGTAGACAGCCCTGGCTCTGTAAAGGAGAAACAAACAGCACGGCTCTGACTGATTCACTCAACACCAGCGTGTTGTGAGCATGTTTTTGCTCATACACAGGGCAGTGAAAATGGATTTAATGGACAGTGGGAGCAAGAAGGATAGAAAATCTGCAAACCATCCAAACAAACATACTGGCTAAATATCAACAATCTTTCTCCAGAATCACACACACCACCTTTAAAGTAGGACATGAAGCTTTAGTTAAACTGTGCTGTGAAATCTCACAAGTACCACTTTGTCTCTACTGTCTTTGTCACTTGGTCTTTCACCCGTGTGAAGATGTAAGTGTCAAGTAATGCTTCAGTGTCAAGTACTGCATCTGATCCTCGGTCAAACTATCACTAGACTTAGGGGGAGATTTTCCACTGCGAGGTTGTGACTTTAATTTAAAGTCAAGTAACAGCTTGCTGCTCAGAGTTAATTTCTCCAGGCAATTGAGGTGGCAGCTTATCTGATGAGGTGCACACAGTTTATCTGGAGATAAAAACTAACACGACGTCTAGACAGGTGTCTTCAATTCAGATACATTTAAAGGCAATAAATATTGTGCTTCAAAACGCTCTAAACTTGTGTTCAGGCCTACATTTTTAATTTAGCTCAGACAGTTATTTTTTTTTACTTCATTTTGTCAGTCGTAAAAGCAAATAAATGCAATATTTAAAACTTTCAGACAGCAAAACAGTTGATAGCCTGTCTCTGTCTGTAGATTTCAAACAGTCAAGTCTAAACCTTCTAGCATGAATGCGTTACATCACCTTTTAAGCATGTACCATGAATCAAAGATGAACCAGCTCTAAAAAAAAAAGGAAAAAAGAAAACAGAAGTCAGGACTACAGCTTAAAGGGCAACTCCACCAATTTTACATCAAAGTCTTTCACAGATCTTACAGAGTACTACTGCAAAATGTGACAAGCGGAGTGCGAGAAAAGTTGTATTAAAGCTTTTGTAGCTGATAAATGTCAAGTGATGTCACTTAAGTCAGGGCTGAAGACTACATATTTGAAAATGAAACAAAAATCTGGGGGTGTGTAGTCAGACAGAAGTGGATCTCGGTGGCCTGTTAATCATCGCCGCTTTGGTCTCAATGCTCACAGCTACATAAACGACTACCAGCACAACACGCACCAATCTCCGATCACACTGTTGGTGGTCGAGGTGCATTGTGGGTGATGTGGCCTCTTGGATTTGAAAAGGAAGAAGAACATATGGAAAAGCTGCCCATCATCAGTCAGACAATATCGTAGGAGTCTGATGTTACTTTTTAAACGTGAGCGTGTCTTCTCGATAACAAAGTAAAAGCCATAATACCTGCATGTTGCTCCGATGCATTTTGTCAATAAACTGGTTTAAGTTCACTTAGGTAATATTTTATTCATTTGATCTTTCAAAACTAGTTTTTATAATTATTTTTTTACGTGGAGTACAAGAAGAAATACAATTGAACATAAAACACTCAAGAGCAAATGAAAGAGGAGCAAACAAAGAGAATTTATAATCATCATTTATAGTTCATGGTCATTTTTCCTCATACTCATTCCAAGTACAGGTCTCTGGAAAGCAGAATTGACTGACAGAATGACAGAACAAACACAGAAACAGTTGTAATGGAGACTTATTTGAGCTATTCTCCTCGGGTTTTGCATCAGCCCAAGCACACATTGGACAATCTTATAATACCACTTGAAAAACACACACGGCAAGTTAATTTGTCTTAATCAGTGTCGTCATCCATCATCGCCACGCGTATTCTCGGTCTTCATTCTCACTCGTGTAAGTCAGGATTGAGGAGGAAAGGCAGTGATTCTACCAGTATCCACACAAGTTGTCACGTCTCGCCTCTCCGCCGTCAACGCCTTGTGCAGTTTTTGGGAAACGGTTAGGCTATTACTGGTCCGGGATCGTCTATCTCAGGTTGGCATTTGTATAAAAAACTATATAGGAACACATGTAAAAACAGGGGAGATTCAAATTATTAATCCAACAGAAAAAAAAAAAAAATGCAGATGTCCTCATAAAATCTTCTATGTCTAGCAACACTTAATAACACTTATGTCTTCTTTTTGTCCGTTTTTTCTTTTTTTAAGTTTTATTCCAAAATGGTTGAGGAGCAGTTATAGTTTGCATCATCTATACAACAGGCTATAAAACACCACTTTGTCACAGTCCAGAAAGCACATATAGATGTGGTTGTACTGTATATAAACATATGTACTGTAATAAGATAATTTTGCGTGCATTGCTCCCGATTGATCACTTTTAAAACATCCCCAGGACTCTGAGGAAACTCTCTCCTTTGAGTTCACACATTGTGAAAACGAAAGGCCTCCGCATTTCTTACTGGCACAATTGACATATTCTTTTAAATCACAGTCTGCTGCTCATTCTCGTCTTTGCTCTGCAGCCGACCAGGTATGAGTCTTTGCTGGCCATCGCTGCCTCTTCGGTGAGTACTTTGGCTGACTCCTCTGACATCCATCGAGGTGTTTTTTTCTCTGTCCGGATTCGCCGTCACCTGATTTTTAAATTTTTTTTTTTCCATCTTCATCCACGGTAAATGTTTGGTGTATGTATTTATTTATGCATTGTGTCATCTTCTCTAGAAAAAGTCTCAACAACACAAACACAGGCAATGTAAATGGAAACGTTAAGTTTGTAATGCTGAATCTCCATTTTGCAAAGTGCATCTGTGCTCCTCTGTTTACCAGAAACAAGGGAGTTAGATCACGTCATCCCGGCCAAGGAACAAGTCACAGATGGGTTAATGCTGTTTGGTTGACATGTTAGATATGCATTTAGTTCATTTTTTACTGTTTGCCAGAGCCATTTTTCCATCAGTCTCTTTCTTGACAGTAAATATTTTCCATCTTGAGTGCTTGTGTCTAAAGAAAGTTCTTTTTTCTTTTCCGTTTTACTTTTCACCGCATTGTCTTATAGGAAAAAATGACTAAATAATGTTCATCTTTGTTATTATACTGTACACATGTTGATGTCCTGATTTGTCTTTTCGATAAATGTTTAAGTTGGTCTGGCAAAGACCAAAGCTTTGACAATCACACGTAGTACTCCTTGTCCTTGTTCTTCTTGTTCTTGCTTGAGGTCTTTGCGGTGTTGACTGGTTTCTCTTTGACTACGGTGCCGTTGGATTGTGCCGAGTTGCTGATGTAGTTGCGACTCTCGTCTACGTGGTATGAACCTTCGTCTCTGTTTCGGTATTTGTACATGGCGTAAAGCAAGATGAGAATACACAACGCCGCTGCTGCTACAATGCCGACCACCATCCCCGTAGTGCTGCTGGACTCCCGGAAGACCTCTGACGTTCCGGGATAACCCGTTCCAGCACCGGTGGGATTGGCTGCAACGGAGAGAGAGAGATATGATTACTGCAAGTGCACTAAGCTTGCTATCGTTCACATTTTTTATCATTATTACTATAACCAGATTTATGGTAGTGAATGAAAGCATTCTTCTAGCAGATCAATATCCCAACTTAATGATACTACAGACATCATGCCTCAAGGTTGCTGATGTTAAAAGTAGATGTTGACTTATAAGACTGGCTTCCCCGCCAAATGGAATAGCATGCAGTTAGACGATGAGGGCAGCGACAAACCACACTGTCTGTCATCGGCGATGGCAAATGAATTGTAAGGATGCGAGAGCCCCAGTCAAATTCTTTCATTCTGAATTAAATGAATTAATACATCAGGATTAGAACCCTACAGCATTTAACGACTGCATTGATGTGACAGCTAAAACTGTCAAGAATGGCTCCCACAGTGGAAGAACACACAAATACCCAGAGACTATAATTTAGATGCTTTGACAGTCATAAATTCTAAAATTACTCCTAAAATTGTGCTAAAATATACCTCAACCATTCCTACATCACCCTGGCTGTCAAAAATCTCGAGGGCTGGACAGTTTTGTAGATGTTGCCTTAAGTACAGACTGTTTTACCTGCATAATCTACTGGCTACCGGCATTTAAATTCCTGCAGAACATTACTCTGATGATAGTCACCGAAATATAATTGAATACATGGAAGCGTTAAGAAAGTGAAACGCTGTAGGAAAGAGAGATTTGCTAAATTCAGAAGCGGAGCTGACAAGAAGACTAATGTGTTAATGATTCATAGAGACGCACAATTAAAAGCTCACAGCTCATTACATGTTTTATAGCACAGTCATGAATGAACAGGCCGCATTTCCAGCATCCACTATATATTCAAGCGGCATGACTGTATCGCATAGTCTCTGAAAATAAATCTTTCAGAAAGAAACAATTCTTCCATTGACTCAGCAGATTTTTGCCAAAGGCTGTCCCCACTTCTGCTCTGAAATGGTGCCATTCAATTGAGCATATTCTGAAAACACGTCAGCCCCCTGATATTATTCAGTCGTCCTGGCACATCTCTCTGTGTGCTTTTTTGTAGCAGTCATCATTTCTGCTTAAGCTCTCTTTGTTACATTTGTGAAATCCAAACACTCAACACTAACATTTGGAAATGAAAGCGCTCTGGTTACACTGGATTGGATCAAAAAAAAAAACCAAAAAACCAAAATAAAGTTTATATATATATGTATGTATAAATATATATTTGAGGGATTTACAGCTGGGTTTAGATCACAGACATGTTGACATTAAGATGTTAGACTTCCATTTATGTTTACACTAGACAAACTAGCAGAAACATGAATAGCTGTGTTGAATTATTTCCTCTGTGTTAATTAGACCGTTATTTAGAGAGATTTGCAGCTTTCCCTTTATCTGCTAATCTTCCTCATCTTTGCGTTGAATAAATCTCATGGAGTGATGCTGGAAATCTCACATTAAGAAGCAATATGTAAAAACTGCTTCTTTAAAAAAAATTTTTTTTGAAGTAGACGACCTTTAAGTTGATCTAGTACGCTGCAATGAGTTGTTTTCATGTTTAGTCCTCTTGTATGTACTTTCTGATGGTTCTGCTGTCATTATGAAGAAAGTACAGTCAAAGCATCCCTTCCAGCTGTGGCTGATTTAGAATGAGGCTGGCATAGTCCTCCCTAAGACCAGAAGGTGGATCAAGCCAGTTCTCCGATCTGTACAAAAGTCTGCTGATGGTTGACTGAACTGTGTGGGACCACAATACATTTCTGATCTGCTGCTCCGTTGTGAACCTTCCAGACATCTGGGGTCATCTGGGAAAGGTCTGCTTGCTTTCCCCCAGAGTCAAAACTAAGTGCAGGGAAGCAAAATTCAGCTTTTATGCTCCACATATCTGGAACAAACTCTCAGAAAGGTCTGCTCCAGCTCGCAGTTCTTTCAAATCAGGGCTTAAGACTTTTCTGCTTGCCGCTGCATTTTATTAAGTTGAATTTGTGACTATTTATTCATGTTCTTGCACTGCACTGTCACCATCAGCTGAGTTAGACCATCGCACAGCTGGGGATGCTCTAATGGAATATACATTTATAGCAACAACAATATTTATCAAAATGCTGATGTTACAATGAAATATGTATCTGATATTTGCTAAAATTCCTTTTACATTTGCTGTCCTTCATGTCCCATTTTGCTGTCCTACTTTTCTCACTTATTTTTTCCAGAGTATTTTGGTTTTAGAAAAATAATTGCATTTTTCAGCTTTGATATCGAACCAGCTTTAAAAAGAAATTTCACTCTAAAACAGAAACCACGACATTGTCTCTTCATTATTTCAATGCTTTGATCTTGGCCAGTCAGAGTAATATTTCCACATGAGTAACTCTCTTCCTATGAGAGCATACAGTATCCACTGTACAGAACACCGTCTTACATCAAAAAGAAAAAAGACATGGAAAACAAAACTTTGCTGCTATTTAAGTTCGTCATAATCACCTTGTCTCATCTTATCACATCCTTATTTAATGACAAACTAAGTTCTTTGAGCATGAGCAGAGAGGGTAGTTCTCGTTTTAATGATAAAGGGAAAAAAAAAGTTTCTTCCTGATCTGTGAAGGGCAGCCAGGATTAATAAGATGATACTGCACATCCAATCTCCTACAAACTACCATTGTGGCAATTTCTCAGTGTGGAACAAGCTGGAAATACATTTCGTTTGGGCTATTTTTGATGGTGTGAAGGTATGCCGGTCCTGCACATTATCGTGAACGTAAGCAACAACTGCTTTTCCAATTCAAAGAACCATACTAAAGGTATAGAACCACACTTTATGCCAACCTTAACCATGCAAGCCATGTTCATTTGCTTTAGATTTTTCAAATGCATTTTTAACTTACCATGCAACTTTCAAACAATTCCCCCCCTATCTATTTCACAATAATTGCTCTAAGTATTGTTAATATAGATCATTTACACCACAATGAACTTTAAATGTTCGATTATTCTGAGAGCATGCTGCACTTAGGAATAATTTTCACAAGTGATGAGAGGAGGGATTGCACATCAGCATATCCACTTCATATTCTGAATATTGTCCAAGTTATAATACAGCCCTCCTTCTATCTCTGATAGCTCTCTTCATTGTTCCCTCTCTTGCATCTCACTAAGTGTTGATGGCTTTGGAGATAAAGCGCCTTTGGATTCCATTCAGCGCTCTTCTTGAGTGACAATGCGACGTTCAGACAAACGTTACTTTGAATGGTGTAATATGAGCTAATGACTCACATGTCTGGTTGAAGAAGATCTTGTTCATGCCAGACCAAAGGGCTTAAAAAATTGTTAACTGTAAAGTGTAGATGTTCTCTAGGCTGTCAGGGGAGGAGATGCTGCTGCTGCTGTCCATTGACATGTTTTCCACCATGGTTAGACTGATCAGCGGCCCAAGTATGCTTCCAATGCCAGCAGACATTCAAGGACAAGCGGAGAGCACCACTGGGGGATTGAGTGTGACTGAGCGTTGCAACAGATTAGCTCTGCTTGTGACAAGCCCACTTATCCTTGCAGACAGGTGTGAAGAATGCTCTCGCCTTGTGGGCAAAAGCCACTGGTTGACACGGCTCGTCCCCAGCAAGCCATTGTGCAGGCATTAACGGTGAGTTACTTTCATATTTGCTATCTATCCTTTGTTCGGGGTCAAAAAGTTGAAAGTGTAGATAACATAGCAGGTTGATGGAGGATAGAGCTCTCGATGTGGTACTCGAGGGTTTTATATGAGACCTCGGCAGGCTCCGACAGTGAGGTGGCAGCGTTTGAAAGGTTCAGGAGGCAGGCAGCCTCAGCCTGCAATATCAGGAGTGAGCCATGTGAAAAAAAAGTACCATGGTACACTGTTTGTCATTGTGTGATCTAACACCTCCAGCTCCAGGCGTTGTTATTTCCTCCTGCTTGGATCTGTTGATTGGCGTCCCACAGACTGCATTCACACAGAGATCTTAACATCGCAGACCCCTTAATCAACTGACCACAATTTTTCTCTCATTACTGGAAAGTCAAGTAAGTAAACTATGTGGTCCATTTATATATATATATATATATTATATTTACAGACAGATTGCCAAAAATAAATTAATAAAAGATTGAATAATTTCCTGCAGAATCCAATTTCCTATCTTGACTAAGAAGGCTGAATAGTGACCACTGCTTAAAGGATTAACACTGCATTTAGCACCGCATTGACACGAGCCTGTTTTGTCTCAAGCGATTAGCATTCATTACAACTCATTAGCTCACATTTAGTCTCAGCAGTGTCCATCAAACAGTCACCTGATGGGCTCTTCCATAGTCTCCTAGATTACTTGATGATGTAGCTCATCCGTTATCCGTGTGCCTAGTTGTGCACCCTGGCCCGTTTTGCCTTAAGTTGGGGTTCAAGCAAAGTAATGCACCTGACACAAGGCCTTCAAGGAAGCCTCATAAGGGTCTCAGTCAAAATGCATCTGCCTGTCTGTTCATTAGCACTCCATCACCGCAGAATGAAGGCACATAAACTGAGAAAGAAATAGCGCCTGAAACAAGTGTTTAAAATGATGGCTGCTCTTATACGCTCTACTCGAGCGTACCCAAGGGTAAAATTAGACATGAGGAAAATGACCTTAAAGTGGCGCCTAGCTTCATGGCAGCATAGCAGGGGTGCACTTGTGAAGCGATAGAGGTAAACTCAGGGGGGGTTAACTTTTGAAGGATGGCAGTCGTGTAAAAAGCTGCCAGAATAACTTTCTCCTCTCCATCTCATCCCAGAGCGAGACTTAAATTTCAGCATCACATCCAGACCATCATAAAGTCCTTGCTGTTTTATTCACAAGGACAACAGTTAATGTTTCAGTTATTTAGTCGCAAATCATTCGCTTTTGCCATGGATTCTTTAAGAAAAGATGCACAAGGAAAACTCTAACCGAAGAGGCAAGGATGATCTTATAAATGGCCTTGAGGAGT